CTTTATAGCGCTATATCTTACCTTCTAGTAGTAATATTCCTACTTATACTATATTAATTAGCTTCTATTAGTCTAATAAAGCCGTATATAAAATTTGGAGTTATTATATAAAGCCGTTATTAAGATATTCAATTTGCATATATCGAGAATTTGGGGCGGCACGTAGGGTGGGGCGGCACGCCGGGGCCACTTCTAGCAAGCGAAAGCTCAAGTGAGCAGAAATGCGATTGCTTTACAAACACAGGATCACCAACAACTATGCAAACAACGACTCCTTCACTTCAATTTCGATGGAGGAAGCCTGCAGGCACTGAGGTAGCGCAACCTCTCCGAGCCAAGCACGTCCCACCCAAGGAATCTGAGAAGCGAATAGTTCACATTTGACGAGCCGGGAGTCCGAGGGAATCGGCTGGCCATCTGTCACCTGCGAAATGCTCATTACGAACAAGAAAAAGCCGGGAGGCGAGTCCCGTAACTGATCCTTGACTGCATGCATGGACACCACTCAGTTCGACATTTGTTGCTTCACTTACTACTCCAATTATGAAGTTTCAGCAGCAAGTCTCCCAACGTAACGAGCACTTCAAGGAATCAAGTTCATCACCACTCAAGCTCTCGCTCCCATCCTCAACACATTTCCAATCGCATCAACAACCATGTCTTTCCCAAATCGCATCACAAAAGACACCTCAGCGCGCAAGGGCCCGGCGCCTCTAGCGCCTCACGACGCCGCACTGCAAGCGTACATGCAGACCTTCGTCAACTCCATCCACGACAATACTGCTCTTGCGACGCACGCTCGCCACTCGGAGCACCTGCACGATTCCCAAGCTTTGAAGGTCTGCTTCATCGAATCGTACAACGACGCTGTGAGGAAGCTCAACAAGAAGTTTGCGGATGACTTGACCACGCTAAACGCGGAGCGTGACAAGAAAGTTGCGGAGCTGAGGAGAGAGTTCGCGAGTGATCCGTTGGCTACGATTGTGAAGCAGCAGAATGTTGCTGCTGGAAGGAACGAGCAAAGTGCGACTGGACGAAACGAGCAAAGCCATCCGCGGGTGGAGCAGGCGGCGAAGGTTGCTGCTGGAGAGCCTCTTGCTGCGTCGATCAAGCAGGAACCTGTGGAAGATCCAACACAGGCTGCGCCAACGCCCACCGTCCTTGAAGGTGTTTCTACTGTGACACCAGCCACGGAGACAGCAAATGCCTCGAGCACTATCCAATCGGCTGGAGTCTCGAGCGGAGCCGAAAGCGTCAGCGCGAATGCAATTACTACCTCAGAAGCTCAACAGCAAAGTGGTGGTTGTGCAGAGGTCGGAATTGCAGGCAGTTCAGGAACCGAAGGAGGACAAGATTGCGAAGACCTGGTCAAAGTGAAGAGTGAAGTCATTCAAACTGGGCTTGAGAGCCGTGACGTGAGGGCAGACAGCGTGATTGCAGCAAGCGATGACCAGCTGCAACATACTGCACCACTCGACGATTGCCCTGGTACAGACGACTCCACTGACAGACCTGCTTCGAATGTGTATGTGGACCTGACGACCGCCTGAGTCAGGGATTTCAAGAGCCGTGACGCAATGAGTATCACGCCAACAAGCGCGATTGGAGTATGCGGAGGCGTGGATGAAGTTGGTCGATGGCATTTCCAGAACCAACATACGATCGACATATCGATGCTCTGCTGCTGAGAGCCGAGCAGACGGAAACTGGAAGAGACGTCTCGTCAGTAGCATCAGGCTCTTGGTTCTTGGAGAAGATATTTGCATTCATCAAATGGTTCTTTGATTCCAGGGGCGTTCTTGTTTCTCGGATCTCTTCTCAGAGCGGCGTTGTCTTTCTTTCCCTAGAGCATGTCATCACACGTACTTGGGATAGTACAAAGAGGACAACGTTGCAAAAGTCTCTAGAGGACGATTAGTGAACTGCAAGCATTGTAGAGACTAAGAAAGGGGTGACCCGGGATTTGCTCCATGCTTCTTCCGAAGTACCAGTAGAGGATCGCAATGTGGCACTTTGCAAGTAAGTTTCTCCGGTCTCTCGTTGGCGCCTGGCTTACTATCGTACTCGTGCAATATGTAGTGTAGATCTCATAGGTAGGCGGTCGGGATGAGTAATCATCTCTGAAGAACCAGGATGACCGTGGATATTTGTACTACATGGATATTTGGACCACAATTTGCGCCCACTGTCAATCCGTGTGACCGCGAATGACAGGAGCTGAATATCAGGCGAAGCGAACCTCTCATCGGATCGAGACCGATCGAAGGAAGCATGAAGAGAGAAGAGGTTCGATTCAATACTGTTTACCCGGTTCTGGGGACTATCGAAGGGCCCCTTGTGCCGCCAGGAAACTATCAGGGAAGGTGTCTATATCAGCGTGCTCTGGAGTCTAGACACCATGATACTGCGCAGACGCTATTTTCGGATGAGGGTAGTGCTTATGCCAATCTCTCTAGACCTTCGGCGCTGCAAGGCCTTCTGATTCAGTGAGCATTGCCTCCTGGGGAACATGTCATCCTAACGCAGGATCTCCGCAAGAACTCGCATTTTGTGGTCGGGTTCTGAGTAGATGCGTCTTGCGTTAAGGTGCTTTCGTAACTGTCGAATTGCTTTGCCTGAGCGTCTCTCATGTCGAGGTATACTTCCATTTCACAAGATCGAAGGATGACAGGTCACAGAAGAACAAGGCAAAGCCCCTCCCATGGCCCTGATCACACTAGCAGTATCCGTATGAAACAATGCGAAGTGTGAACACCTTACCGGAGACCGCGAGACATCCGCACTATGGCCGATGATAGCCAGTAGTCGTCGACTGTTATCTGGCCCTGTAAGACCACACATATAAGAGAGCCGAGACTGTAAACTTGTCAGCTAGATACAAAACCCACATCGAACATAGACTCATAAAATTGTCCTGTCCCCCTCCCAGCAAATCAATCGCCACGATGAAGACCTTCTTCCTCTCAACCGCTTTCTTGATGCTCGCCCTTAATGTGCTCGCCAGTCCATGACTCCGAGAGAAGCAGAAGGCGAGATCTTCGAGAGACAAGGAGCATGCTCTTACGTTTGTGAAGGCGTATGTCCCTCCCAGATGGATCCTCCAACTTCAAACGAGACTCGACTGACTAAATTCCGCAGGGACCAAGAACGCCTTGCGTGTGCGGCGCTAGTTTTGTGTGTCGTGGTATCACAGGATTTTGTGTAAGTATTCGAGATTCAGCGTGGCCGTGTGCTAGGGTGTTTGAGCTAATAGTTTGTAGCGCTGAATATAGATGTCGTACAAGGAGATCAGCGTATCTGCGTTGGCGGCTGAGAGGAGGTTGCGCTCTGGGTACTCATCGAGGTGTTGCTGGGCTTTTCGGGTGTTCACGCGGTCTGGTAGCTAGCCGTGATGTTAGCATAGATGGTGTAGCATTCGATCGGCACATGATTGTTATCGTCTGTCTCCTTCTCAGACCGGCATGCGTTGTTTAACGTTTGTCGCGTTTTGGTAGCTAGGTACTGTGGTTGGCGATTCCGCTGTTTGGTGTTCTAGATACTTCGGAGAAAGGGTGTCGGGAGGTGTGGAAGGAAGGTAGTAGTAAGGTAGAAGGTAAGGTGGTGCGCGACTTCCTTTTTCCGAAGGAGCCTGAGAAGGAGGCAGGTCATCGTCCAGCTCGTGGATCTGCTTTTGGATTGAAGTTGAACATACTTGACTACAACTTGCGGATCTCGGTGCGGACTTATGGTCATCGACCTACCTAGTTGGTCGGGCAGTAAAGCCCCTGAATGGCTGATTTTAACATCAAGCACGGCACTTCCATATTATCGACGCGTTTTGAATCGTAGGATATGATATACGGGCTCTGCGTGACTTGTGAAGTGCCCTCAGAACGATCAACGGAATAGGTGCTCATGTCAGATTGGCAGTAGGCGAACGTATGATGGAGAGGGAAAAACAGCACGACATTGACATTCTACGTATTGAGAACCTCTCCCATTGATTACAAGTTCAGAGCCCGCCTGTAACCGCTTCGATGTGCTCATCTAACAGGGCACACCGACGTATCTCAATACAGTAACTCTTCCCGTTCTAACAAGTCGTCGGGTGTTTGAGCAGCAATCTGCATTTTTGCATTCTTTTCTGACCTCATCCGTGCAGATGAGTCCATCACCTTTCTGATCTCATGTAAGCGGGAGGTCAACAAGCGAGGAGTGTTCTGTGTGGCTGACATGTTTGTCCTTGGCGAGACTGTCCTTGAAGCAACAATTGTTCTTCGAGCGGAAGGCCATCTGTAGTAATGAATGTTAGGGGACAGATTTTGGTCGATTCGATAGTAGGAGGCGTACGGAGAGTCCTAGGAGGGCGAAAAGAGGATAGATGACCTTCATGGTGGCTGAATCTCGGTCTAAAACTTGGGAGTAAAGTAGTAGTCGTAATTGTTTGCGTTCGAGTACCAGGTGGTGCGATTGATAGCAGACGAAGCAGAGCAGATGGATGGGTTTTATACATCTCTGTAGTGTCTATGAAGCCCACTTATGCTAGTACTGTTTGGGTGAGTTCGGCGAGCCAGCCAATGCGATAGTTGGGCTGCAAGTAGCAAGAAGTTTAGTATGGATGAGAGCGACACGGGATCAACAGCGGTTCCATATCCTTTAGCTGCATGGAGAGGATCTGGTCTCGATGCAAGGAGATGCAATGGACAAATCTGGCGGGAATTAGTGGAGCTCTGAATTTGACGGGTATGATTGAGGTGAGTGAGATGCATCGTTACCTTGATCACCACTAAACCCTCACCGGACACATCAGCTTTGCGTCCACTCTGGGGCAACGATAATAGCAACAACATCCAATAATCGAAGCTCGACGACAGCGACAGTGAGCTCTTTGATCTTGACCAAAACGGCAAGGGCTGCTTTGCTGCCAGGATCAAGCCATCCGATCAAACAGGGAACTCTTCGTATGTGGCTTCCAAACGTTCAGGTCCAGCTTAAAAGAGTCCCTCGTTTCGTGAACTCCCGTGGGAATCGTTCAAGTACCGCATGAGTCATCAAGTAACTAGAGCTCATGCGCTGGACCATCTGCAGGCTTGGTCTCACCATGCAAAGGTTCGGCTACCGCCTTTCCCTGTTCGATAATGATTCTTGTGGCCGGAAGTTCATCAGAACGGAAGTCTTTGGCCCTGGGCCCAAGCATTTCCGTTGCTTTGTTGGTTCTCTTGGAAACCTGCTTCGCAGGCGTGTATTATTACAGGCCGTGAGCTCACCATTGCCTCCCCAGTAAGTGGTGATCATAGTGATGCAGTACAGCAGAAATCCGGATTCAGGCCGGTATTCTGGCCACTTATTCTGGGTGGACGGTCGAACATCACCTGCTTCTCTGCTCCGAACTCCCGGAAGCTGACTGTGCTGATGCCAACCCATCCTCCGTGTCCACTGCTAACGCCCGTATCTCATCCAAGTGGCCACTTGCACCGAATAACGTGCAGATAACCCCTCGCACCCTTCGACAAGATCTACCGCGAACTTTGGAAGGATGAGATTTTCGAGAGCTCAGGCTCTGCTGTTGGGAGAGAAGGTTCCTGAAACGGCGTTAAATGGGATGCCTACGAATGGAACAGCGAAGGATTAGCGAACACTGCCAAGCCGACAGAAGGCGTCACTAGCTTTCGTACGAGATGTCTACGAGCCGATGAGACTGACTGAACACGAGGCAGCTGGCAGCGTGTGATAATCAAGACGGTTTTGTCTTCCGTCGTATTCATGTGGACTGAGTTATGGCCGTAGGACAATCGATCTGCATTTCATTAGCTCGAAAGCATCACAAAATGAAGTAGGGCTTCATCCATGCCATGAGATGCATAGACTGTCAAGGTCCGCGCCCATGGTTGTTGACCACCCGAGTTTCCACGGCAGTTGCAACGATGTATATAAATGGTGTTGCATACATGCAAGGATGATCTCAAGTTGCTAGAGATAGAAGCCCTTGCCGTTAAACTCTGATCCGGCGAGCTTCATTGAAGATTAAACTCCCCATGTTGCATCAAAGCAGGAAGGCAAGCTCGTCGAGCTTTGCAAGACTCAGATCGTTCAGCTGCTGATGGCATGTGTGGGGGCGGACTAGAGGGGACCTCTTGAAGCGTTCTGAAGATCGCAGCCCGAGCTGTCTGCTTCAATTACCTAGATTATGCGTGCCAAATTCCTTGCGGAGATTGGCGAGGGACCTGGATGAAAGCATTATTGTAGCATCCAGTGGTATCTGCGTTGTGCTTCAAGAAGTCGAGCCGAAGACAGAGTCAATCGTCCATATCAAACCCTGATCCTGCACGAAGATGTTGAAGTGAGGTGCGTCCGTGCACTGCAACCTCTGTTTGCGCAACCTGCATCCGAGCCCGCGTAGCCTGACGAAGATGCAGTCTGGGGTACGTTCGAGAAGCTTCTGGTCTGCTCAGTTAGCTGGAAATGAAACGCCATTTGGACCACAACAACACGCGAGGCTGATCTTTCACCGCCCGACCTCGAACACACCGAAAGCCGACAGCACAAGCGGCTGGCTATCGTGCACGCCATGGCTGAACGCATAGCGCCTGCAGTCACGGACACTCTCAAAGACCTGCTTGGCGACGGTCGCTACGCAGATCTGACAGTCACCTGCGGGCAACGGAAGTGGCGCGTCCACAAGAATATCGTCTGCACTCGATGCACATTTTTCGAAAAGGCTGTCGATGGTCGGTTCGCGGTACGGCAGACTGGAGGTGCTTTTCGAGAAGACAGGCTGACAAGCTCTTAGGAGTCGAAGACCGACACCGTCGATCTCAAAGACAACCACCCGAACGCAGTCGCAGCCATGATCAGATATCTTTACACGGACGACCTCGATGACTCCATCCACGCTACCGATGATGACGGAGAATGGAAGCAATTGGCGATGACAGTGCAAGTGCACAAAATTGGAGACCAGTTTGGTCTCAAGAGATTGGCAGACTTGGCCACGGCCAAGTTCGAAGCCTGCTTGAAAGGCCACGCACACAATGCGCCAGGTTTTCTGGAGACCATCGAAATGGTAAGTACTCCGCCCATGTAGCTTTAAGCCTACGCGTGGCTGAACTGCGAGAGAGCTTGGAAGCCCGCTGAAAGACCCCTCGACTAACTCTGACGCAGGCATTTGCAGACAAAACGGATCTCATGGCACCGTTTCGTGCCCGCCTCATCGCATGCGTGATGGAACACGGCAAGGAACTTTTCTCCAACGGCGAGTTCCAGGACTTCGCTGCAACGGTGCCACCGTTCGCGGCCGCTCTCTTGAAGGAAAAATTCCGAATCGATGATGAAGAGCAGGAACAGAAGCAAGTCACGGATGCGTGGCAGCATCTGGTCTACGACTGCCCAACGTACGGCTGTGGCATGGAGTTTGCATTAAAATGGCCGCCGTTTACAGCGGGTCAATACAAATGTCCGGGATGTGGTGTCGACAGAACGGCAGGAAGCTGGTCGCAGTTCTATCGGAGACCTGTCCGCTCTTGAACAAGCTCATGAGCAAAGTGCAGATCCATCACAGACAGACAGCGACCTGGACTAGGCGACTGAGGAGGGTTGCCTGGCCATGCAGATTCTTAGTCTTGAGTTTCGCTCCTGTCGATGTCAGTACTCGTAGATGCTCATTCCAGACTGCCAATCTCCACCGATCTGCATGTGCAATGAACTCGGAGTGACGATTTCTCGGACATAGGCCTGATGTTCCCTCCATATATCGACAGTGTAACGTATGAGATGGGATCAATACAATAGCGAACAGCGAAGCCATGCTTCGAGAGTGTAGGAGGTGGAGTCGGTCCTTTCCGAAAGGACTTTACGGAGTTTAGACTGGCTAGTTCGAGAAATCCACACGCTGACGTAACTGCCTAGGTACGCTGTGAATAGTGATCAGTTCATCGATCAACCAAAACGTATATGCCCAAAAGTACAAACCTGTCCAACCTCCTCCGTCGACCTCAGAACCTCAAATCCGTGAACCGCAAAACCTACAATCCCCGAGAAATGCCACTCCGAATCCTCATCACCGGCTCAGCAGAAGGCCTCGGCCTCCTCTCCGCCCAAGCCCTCGCCTCCCGCGGCCACGAAGTCCACCTGCACGCCCGCTCAGCAGCACGAGCGCAAGACGCAAAGAATAACTGCCCAGAAGCAAAGTCCTGTTTCGTAGCAAACCTCTCCGATCTTAATGAAGTCAAGCATCTCGCATCAGAAATCAAAGCCGCCGCACCATGGGATGCAATTATCCACAATGCGGGAGCAATGCATGGCACTACTGGTAAAACAGCACCAAATGCTGATTACGGTCTGTTATTTGCGACGAATACTTTGGCGCCATATGTGATTACGAGTCTGGTGAAAGGAAGTGCGAAGAGACATGTTTTTATTGGATCGCAGATGCATGCGGGTGGGGATTCGACGTTGAAGAATTTGAAGCACTGTGGGTATGGGGATAGTAAGTTACATGATATTATGCTGGCGTATGGGTTTGCGAGGAAGTTGAAGAACGAGGAGGGAGTGGAGGAGTGTAATGTGTTGGATCCTGGTTGGGTGCCGACGAAGATGGGAGGAGGTAGTGCGCCAGATTCGATTGAGGAGAGTGTGCAGACTTACGTGGCTTTGGCGGAGGGAGTGGGTTGTACGGGAGAGTATTTTGGTCCGGCGGCGAAGAAGGGGAGGAGAGTTATGCCTGCGGCGAAGGAGGTGGAAGCACAGGAGAAATTGTTTGCTCAGTTGGCGGAGATTAGTGGTGTAGAAGCACCTGGCTCATGAGTGTATGTTTGCATGTCCTGTCGATATATTATGCTGATTCAGCTCAAGGAGATGAGAACTTGTATTCATACTGCTCCTGCGCCTTCTTGAGCAGGTTTCTGAGCTCATCCTCCTTCTCTTTAAACCCATCTTCCTCCTTCAGACGCCTCTTATATGCTTCATTCGTGAGGCTGGACTCCTCAGGAATGGCCACGCCGCGCTTGACCGCAGGTCGAGCATTGATCCTCTCCCACCACTTGTACAGGTTGGGAAAGTTCTCAAGGTTGACACCAGCAATATAGGCGACGTTGACCCAGCTGAAGTTGGCGATGTCGGCAATGGAATACTTGTCGCCAACCAGGTACTCGCGGCCCTTGAGACGGATATCGAGGACTCCGTAGAGGCGCTCTGTCTCGCCAACGTAGCGCTGAGTCGGGTATGGAATGCGTTCCTTGGCAAGGCGGTAGAAGCTGCAGTGGGAGTCAGTACGCCGAAAGTTCACCTTCCTTTACCTCCAGACTCACTGATTCGCCTGTCCTTGCATGGGACCCAAGCCACCATGCTGCCAAGCCACCCACTGCTCACATTGCGAGAGCTCGGGATCTTTGGTGAAGGACAGCTTGTGGTCGGGATCAAAGTTACGGGTCACGTATGTGAGAATGGCAGCACCCTCCATGATGCCCAGATCACCATTGTCGTGGTCGATGAGCACGGGAATGCGCCCGTTCGGACCATACTCTGTAAACCACGGCTCTTTCTGGATGTTCTGGCCAATGTGGATGCTCTGAAAGACGTAGTCCGGCTTGCCATACGCCTCTTTCAACTCCTCCAAGATGATGCTCGCCTTGTGGCCTGTATGCCTCTGTCAGCGGCTTTTCTCGGCCACCTCTCGATGTATTCATCCCTACCATTTGGAGTACCAAAGGTCAACAGCTCGAGGCCGCTCTTGGCGATAGTGCCGTTGGGTCGATCGGACATGGCGTCGTCGTTTTGCTTGCGCAATGTAGTGGCGGAGAATGGTCTAGTGGTGAATGTGCTCACAGCAGGAGATGCGGATCGAATGAGATGGTTCGCGGTCTGCTGCAGGCGGTAGAGGGGAGAGCGGAACATGAAGGCGAGGAGAAGAAGCACGACCAGCCTGTAGATTGACCTCATGCAAAAAGTCCCTCTCAGCTACGTGGAGCTTTGCCGGAGCTCGATGGCTTTGACGTTAGTGACATGCCATTTCTCAGCACAGAGGGAGCTGCTGTGAAGTCCTCCGAATGTGTTTACGTCAGGTGTGGGGAGAGCTCTCAATTGGGTTAGACCAGGAGTCCCATCACCGACGTCCGATGCTGACATTCTCCTGCTAACTAAGCAGACCACTCCCACCACCACCATCTCTCTACAGTTCCGCCTCAAGGGCGAGAGGCTTACTGGTACCATGTGTCGGCCTTAACAAGCCATGGTTGCTACAACGAGCTTTTCTTTTGCCGGAGAGACGAGCACGGTGCCATCAACAAACGATCGGCCTCCTGCAGCCCGTGGGAAATTTTTGACGTAAGGTGAGGCACGAAGTTCAGATATGCATCGTCGACAGCATTTCCGAGAGACCATTGCGGCTGTAACAAGAAAATTGCGTATGATGGTGCCAAGCCTTGCAAACAGACTTGGATTGTTGGCATGTTCTGGCCACATCCGTCACCCTGCCCGGTCTCTCGTCAGCAGAATGAGGGCAAAGCACGCTTAGATCAGATCAGAGCGCAGACGAGAGCATGTCCCCAACAATATTGGCTCAAAGTTTTGTTTCAGCTTGACAGCTTGGCATCCCAATCTCCGAGTTCACCTGCTGCGGGAACCATCATTCTACATTGGTTTGTAATGATGCCAGCCTGTGTCCTCAGGTCAGGAGATGTGTGACAAGTTTCGCAGCGATCGAAGCTGGAGCTGTTCGTCTTCTTTGAAGATCACAGGCCGGAAATGGAATGAGGAGGTCAAGCTTGGCCTGCCATCCCATGCATGCTTGACTTGCGGATACCACTCCGGATCGCAAACGCCGCAGTGGCTTCCTTTTCTGAGCTTACCTTTCCACAGACACTCCGCATCCGGCTTTGACTTTGTGTTGCTCGCATGACATTGCTGTGCGAGCGCTTGAAAGAGACTCGCGTATGCGCAATGATGAGGCCATCCGGTGCCTGGCGAATGCGAGCGTCTTGCCCTTGTTGTCATATCTGGAATCGAGGCCTGCCGAGCATGGATCAGGCAACGTCGACAGATGAACCATCATGGAAGCTTGACAATGCACAAGCTACATAGCTCAGCGCACGAGCCACATGGCTTATTACAGTGGCAAGCGACTTTGCAGCTGCTGCCCTCATGGCTCTCACCGAAAGGATCCCATCATATGGAGGACAAACAGAAAGGACATCCCAGCCTCGTATATCAAGTGTCAAAAGCGATGGCCCGGACTTGCCATTCGAGCGCCTCTCGACTCGGCTCTCGAACATCCCAGAAAACTTCGCCCAGCACGATGCTTCAGACTATCTCTCTGAGATTCAAGACTTGGTATACAGGACCTACATGCACTCCGGCGCCCCTTCCTTTTCCAACTACAGCCTGAACGGCGGCTCAGCTTCAAAGAAATCGCGGCAACGATCTACCTGCACACGATTCTCCTCTAGCCAAGGCAGACTTCAGAATGTCGTCCTCGACCAGTCGACCTTTACCGAAAACCTGATCAAACGCCTTTCACTCACCCGCCGGCTCTCCTCAACCATCCCAAACACCCTGCCTCCAGCGATTGAGACCTACTTCGAAATCAACACGATTCTGATCAGAAAGTCTGCAGCTCTTCTCCCGTCAATGGCATTCAGTGTCTCCGACCAGCTCCATCCCCTCCTAGCACTAAACATTCGACATCTCGAACTTCATGTCAAGATATCCTTCCGGCCCATATACGGCAGTCTGCGACAAAATCACCGCTTTGAAGCCAAAACAGAGCACATCTCTCATTGCTCTGTCCACCTTCCCTCCATCGTCGACCAACTTCCACGACTCAGAACATTAGTCCTCGTCCTCGACAGCCTATTTGACCTACCGCCTCGGCCGAGCGACTACCAGCGATTTCTGCGAACACACCATTACCATGCAGGTGCTTCCAGAGAAGAGAACATCAGAGACTCAGATCTGGAGGATCAGATGGGGCTAGTAATTGTGCCTGGCCTGCGGCGGCTTGCGACTGAGACAAAGAGGCTGTCTCGGGTGGCGGTGAGGCACCACCCCGGTACCAGTCTCAGGGGAGAACCGGAAGTGGTAAATGGTGTAAATTCTACAGACGAGGCGATTGCGAGTGCAGTTTTGGCGCAGCATGGGAGGGAGGTGGTGTTGAAGGGATGGTTGTGAGGTGGTGAGTCCGAGGGAAGAAGTCGCACATTGCCAGTCTGGCGTCGCCCCTACGTGAGCTTCATGTCGTCTGCGTTTCACAGGACCTGCTGACGTTGCGCAGACTGCACGCGACCTGGCTCGCCATCTTGCATCGTTACGGCTGCTTCGACCTTGGTCGTTCTCTGGGCTGGAACGAGCAAATACTGTCCGCGCCACAGAATCGTACTTGATCCGGACCTTGTCCTGGCCTCCTCACGACCTGTCAACGTCAGTCAACCTTTCTTGCTCATGTTTTCACGCACACCTGGCAGACACGATCGGAAAGCGAGGACCGAGATCAATGCGAAAGATCTGTACATTCAACAGCTGGAGGAACAGCAATCACCACAATCACAAGCTTTGTCCGGGCGCTCTCATGCCGGAATCTCATCCGAAAGAGGACCATTAATGAGTACCGCCCAGTGCTCACCCAAACCAGCCGTTGAGAAATTTGTACCAGCCTTGGAACACGAATTAGCTGAGGGTCATGAAATTGAGACATGCTTGCTCTGGTTACCTGTTTTCCCACAGCATCATCACCAAGATCCATCAGCCCTTCTGGCATCACACTGATAGCACGGCCTGGAGCGAAGAAGTCAGTTACAGAGCTCATGCGTAGCTCACGGTCTCACATACCCCAAGCTGCCTCATCAGTGGCAGCTCTTGCCATGGCCTCCAACACGTGGTCGATGCTTGCAACAGGAATTCCAGCAGCCTGTAACGCCGGGACAAGAGCGGCAGTCATGGGCGTCTGGACACAAATTCATCAGCATCAACAAGTCATCACCAACCACATTCTCGACCGAACTCACATCGACATAAAATGGACAAACGGAATTAACCCTCACGCCCACCGCGGCAGCATGCTTCCTCAAACCTCGCATAAAACCTCTCACGCCAAACTTCGCTGCCGTATAGCTGACGCATCCTTCCGCTCCACAATACCCTGCCAATGAGTCAAGCAAGACAATCGATTTCGGAGAAGGAGCCGTTCCAGACTTGTGCAATCCCATGCCATATCGCAGCGTAAGCATAGCGCCCACGTAAACTGCGTGGAGATTGACCGTGATGACGGGCGCAGCCAGATCTTGTGGTACAGACGTTAGACTCGACAAACCTGCGGGGTCTGCGGGTGCAATTGCCAGTGGTGGGCCCAAGATGCCCGCGTTGGGGACATAGATGTCGACTTCGTTTCGGGGGAAGAATGCTAATGCTTCTTGGAGGAGTTTGACTTGTGCTTCGACTGAAGTTACGTCTACTCGTACGAACTTGACACTGGACATCAATCGTCAGTCAATCATTCTTGAGAGATGCTTGTTCGAACACGATGCGCATCCTTCATCGACATACTTTGCTCCAGACGAGGCAAGCTCTTGCTCGACTGCTTTACCTCCTGCTTCGTTCAAATCCGCCAGTACGAGATTGGCTCCATGCTGTGCGAACATCTTTGCAGCTGATGCTCCGAATCCGCTGGCTGCTCCTGTGAGGAGCACATTCTTGTCTTTCAATGCGGCATAGTCTACGGCTTGGCTGAAGTCGATGGGTTTACTGAGAGGCATGCTTGCAATCGAGTCGGGCGGCAGCGATTACTATAATTCGACGAACTTGAGATCTTACGACCAAGTAAACTCTTCGATCAGAGTTGTCACAGCCATATATCTCCTCTTCGAAGTGGTCGTTATTATGGTGCCCGCCACAAGTGTCCCATACCCCGCAGTCGAGTCGGCTTCCGCGAGGCCGGATGCTCTGGTGAATCCTACTTCCAGACCCTGACACGAGCGCCATTGAAACTTTGAATGAGCCTCGTGGCACTCCCACTTTCCTGAAAGAGGGGAGCGTTCGGTTTCAAGCTGGTTTGGAAAGCTCGAGGCAATTTCGCGGTAGCTGGTTGGTCGATACTGGGAAGCTTGATCTGTCGACTTCTTGGGTCGAGATCTTGCCAAAATGCGGAGAAGCTGTTGGCCAAGGACCAAAGTGATGGTAATGTCGACTTCACCTTTGATCTCTGGAAACGACATTCGAGTTCTTCTTGGGTTGTCAGGGAGTCGCTGAGGTGATACGCACCCGGACGAAACAAGAAGTCGATGCGAGCCTCTTGTCGGGATAATCAGTGCACGCCACGCTGGTGGGCTGATTCCTGGAGACTGGGCTGCTACTTCTAGGACGGCTTTGGCTGTGACAAGTAGGTCGTTGGCTCTATTTCCCTACGATGCTTCTCGATCGGTAAGAGCACGATGGGTCTGAATGATCACTTGCAGTGGAACTCGACCTTCCAACACTGCACTCTACATCCAGCTCTACTCTTGGAGTTCGGATCTTGAAGAGTCGATGATTTATTCCCGAGCGCCAGAGAAAGACTACTGCCTGATTGCGTCCTGGTCCTCTACTGAGAATTGAAGAACGCCTGGTATACTTGCACGACGAGGTGAAGTCAAGGTCGCTTGTTGACTAGCTACCACCGATTAGTGAACAGCCCATTATCGTCCCGTGCCGTCTCGATGCATGACAAGGATGAGAGGCCAGCGTCAGTCTAGACCTCTTCCACCTCAAAACCGTTGGCCGTGATCGTCGCGTCCTCGGCGTAGCACTGGCAGCCGGACTTCCATGAAAAATTTCACAAGAGCTGGCAAGCCGAAGATGAACGATGATGACAAAACCTGTGCATCTCCATCCTCCACCGCGCTGGTCAAGGCAGCTGGGCGTCGAACTCTTCTTCTGGTCACTTGCAAGCCTTACTTATGATGGTGATGGTACGCATGGCCGCGTAGACGGCATACGCACTGTGCAGCACATCACCCGATGCTGATGAATCGACTGGCGGCGTGCCGAAGGACAAAATCAAGGCTGGATATTGTTTGTGATCGATATCGCCTGTGTGTCACTCCTCAATTCTCTTCGGTGTTGGAGGTTCGAATGTCCCATGTCCGGTGGTCCCGCGTGGTCGCGCATGATAGTCGCGTGTTGGCCAAATTTCGGGAGACTCGTGTTCAAGCGCGAAGAGCAGCAATGTTGCACAGTTTGTTCTCGCATCCGATATTCCTTACGCCCAACAGAGTGCACTTCCTGGGCGATTCTGAGCTTACTAGATCGACGGACCTTAACCTTTGTGAATAGTGCGTCCCTCGGGGAGTGCCACTACAGCTCCAGCGACGTGCTAGATACACATTTGCCGTCCAAGGTTTCGGACTACAAACGATACTGCTTTTACAGCTATGATGCCTGCAAACTTGAACACGTGGATCATTGGATGCGAAATGATCTGCCCTTCGATGGCAATTAATGCTTCACTGTACGTCTACATGAGTAAGCGGCGACTTTGAGTGCCTAAGCGTCTAAGTTAGTAGGGAGCATAAGCACTAGTAGTGCGGCAACTTCGGCGATGTCCTAGGCGACGATGCCTACGAAGCTTTACTGTAGTCAGAGACTCTGGCCATGCAACTCGCACCTTAAGGCATTGGTCTAGAAGGCTCAGCGATAGGATGAGATTCCTGCAGATCTTGATCCTTGTGCACTGGCTGATGGGCCGGATCTCCTGAACGCAAGAGAAAGTTCTCATAAGGCACCTCTCTTGCAATGCGAGAACTCCACGACAAGGGCGCTGAAGATGGGCGCATTCCACGCCAACCGCACTGCCAGCAAGAAAATTTAAAGGATGGGCTTAGTCCGCAACTCAAGACATACGAAAGGAATGCCAATATGGCAGCGGCGTGTGCTAGTGCTCGCTCTGAACATTGCCACAACGCCATTCCTTCTTTGGCAATTCTATCTACTTTATGAACCAGACGGCATCAGCACTCTCGAGCTCCTAATCCTGGCATGCACCTTCTTCTGCGTGCCTTGGTCAGTCCTCAATTTCTGGAATGCCGTTATCACGCTCTGTCTTCTCGCCTTTGGCAATGCAGAGGACTCCGTCTACCCGTACTTTAAAGGAACAGGCGAGCTTCCCGAAATATCGTCGAAGACCGCACTTGTTTTCTTCCTGAGAAATGAAGATCCTGGGCCTTTGTTCGACCGCATGCACGCTATGCATAAGAGTCTACAGGACACTAAGCAAGTACAACACTTCCGATTCGTACTCTTGAGCGACACTAGCCAAGATGATGTCGCCAAAATGGAGGGGCAAGGCTTCGTCCAGATCCGTGACGAGATTGCGAAAGGCATGTCCAGGCCACCATTCTACCGGCGACGCCGCGAGAACGTAACGTGGAAAGCTGGCAACCTCAAAGACTACTTGGACCATCACTCCGGCGGCGATGACTTTTTCGTCCCGCTTGACCAAGATAGCGCGATGGCTGGTGATCTGCTGGTGCGCATGGTTTCTAGCATGGAGAAACACTCTCGAATTGGCATTATGCAGACTCTGTGCTACGGTATGCCCGCCGCAAGTGCATTCACACGTCTCTATCAGTTTGGCATAAGACAGAGCATGCAAACGTACAACCTTGGTAACAGTTGGTGGACGGCCGACTGTGGCCTCTACTGGGGCCATAATGCGATTATTCGGACGAAGGCATTTCACAAGCACTGTATGTTGCCGAAGCTTCCGGGCAAACCACCTTTAGGAGGACACATCCTGAGCCACGACCTCATAGAAGCCATGTTCATGCGGAGTGCTGGATACGAAGTACGCATCGTTCCATGCGAGACCCAGAGCTACGAGACTCACCCACCGACCCTGATTGACTACCTACGCCGTGAACTTCGATGGTGCCAAGGGACGATGCAATATTGGTTCTTACTTACGAGGCCCGGTCTGCATCCATTGAGTCGCTTTCACGCGTGTCAGACACTCGCCACGTATCTTACGCAGGCCGTTCAGGCTGTGATGGCTTTTGCTACTATCATTAATGTTCTCTCTGGCGGAGTAAGCAGTAGTGCTGAGACGAAGGCACGATTTCTTGCTCTGCAGTTGACCATGGCTGTCATTGGCGATGGATGCAAGATCGCTGGGCACTTGAACGTTGCACTTACCTCTTTGCCGCGCTACGGAGGCTTTCTGAACTGGATTTTGAGCGTCCTAGTTGAAGCACTTCTTCTGTTCCCGCTGGCTGCCATCACCTCTGTATCCGTCTTTCACTTTTTTGTGAAATTGATGCTTACGGGAAAGACTATCTCCTGGGATGGGCAGAACCGTGATCGTCTGGGCCTCAGCTGGCGATCTGCACTCGAGGCGCTGTGGCCTCACACAGTGATCGGTCTATCTTGCATTGCCGCGATGGTGGTCATAGAGCATGACTTTTCAACCCTACTTTGGGGCTGGCTTTGGGCAGCTTGCCTCATCATGGCCGCGCCTTATGCTGTATTCACTGCTTCACCGCGATTTGGACGCTTGGCCGTGCGCTTTCGCCTGTTCACGGATCCCGAGGAGCTCATGCTGCCATCGATTCTGTCGACACTCATACCGAAAGAAATCAAGCCGATCAAGGTGGAAAAGGCTAGCATTATTTGAGAAGCAGAGATGCTAGAACTCGTGGTCTCCGGTGAGCTTTGAAATGCTCTTGATGTTGGCACGTGCTATGGTCTCGCTTTCCATAACCGGTTATTGATGGAAGCTGAGGGCTCCTCGCAACCGCTTCGAAGTAGTTGCAAACACTAATTAAGACAGCTGAAACGTCTCACGTCGCATTCTGCTTGTCCGAAATCCTCCGTGACGTGTCAATCGTACGCTAAAATGTGTTGTTGGCACTAGTGGACGCGGGAGAGTGCAGAAATGTGGCACGAGGAGGTCATGTGTAACACTTCTATTTCGCCTATGAAGGTTGCCGGCGGGTAGCTACGTTGATAGCATCGGTTCACTGCATTGGTCGCGTTGCTACGCAGCGGATGTTGGACGAACCGCACGACGATGACCTCTCTCATCGTCGCTATCTGAGATCCAACATCGTTGTCGACTTTGTCAATGCTCAGCGTACACATCTTTCGAACTCTGCTCACTGCAAGGCTGTCACTGCCGTCGTGAAAGTCCCGGCTCCGTTCTTTCCGCCTAGCAGCTCCTGCACGAAAACAAATAATTTTGGAATCATCTACATTTCCTGAGTAGACACTGTACATCGCCTTTGACCTGAATCTTTTCCATCGCCGCTGCTCAGCGACTCTCGACAACACTTCTCTGCCAGCATGGCGTGGCCAGAATGTCCCTCGAATGTACTTACTAGTCTCAATGCGCCCAAGACCTTCGACGGACGCTGCGCCGGATACAACAAGATGGTCGAGCTTGGTCTTGCACCGCCTTCGCCGGCCCCGCTTCCTGGTCTACCACTCAGGAAAGCTGCCAAATTTGAAGCAGCGAGTCACATAAGACCGATCGAGCTTTTCACTCATCTGGAGTCGGAGCACAAAACAATACGATGCCACGAGACTGCCTACCGTTTCGTTCGTCGCGACAACGACCGCGAAATGCTTATCTACGTGGATGGCTCCTGCTTGGATCAAAATTCCAAGGAAGATGTCAAGACACGCCGAGCAGGATGTGGCTGGGTCTTCAAACCCGTCTCATCCTCCGCCGGCGTGCGTGAGGAGGCCATGCGCCTAGAACTTGAAGGTCCATCTGGCCAGGAGTATGTCCCAACCAACAATCGCGCTGAGCTTCGAGCCGTGATTGGAGCTTTGCAATATCGCGAATGGAATGGTGAAGGATGGCGTAATGTGGTCATCGCCCTAGATAGCGAGTACGTGGTCTTGGGTATTATTCTAGCATCCGAAACGGTCGGGTGGACTTCGAACCCCATTTTTCGCACAATCCAGCGACAGCCTCTAATGAAAATTAACGTGACCCCGCATAATTAAATTTTCATTAGAGGCTGTGGTTAGTGATTATCGATCATGTTCATACAGATAGGATGTCACCACAGTCACCATCTACACCTGTCCCAGAGCACGATAGCTTCCTTTTACGGACACCGATGATTCATTTCGGTTCTGAATCAAGGCAGTGACCATCACGGACACGTCCTCATGCCAATGGCGCTACCGCGTCGGTATGTTGGTATCGGAAGAGCAGTCGAGGAGTCACGCAATTCATATAAAGATCAAACAAAGCCCGTCAACATCCATCCTATCATTACAACGCTATCACTTCGACCAAGCACTCCAGCCCATACTCCCAACTTCAGTCACTCTTTTGACCACAAGCAACCCCTTTTCACCCAACAACATGAAATTCTTCACCCTCTCCACCACTCTCCTTGCCGGCCTCGCCATCGCCTCCCCAGTTGCCGATCCCAAGCCGGAGCCTGAAGCCGATGTAGACGTCTACGTCGAGAAACGCATCGCCCCAGCAGTCGTGGGCATGGCAATTCTCACCGGTGTCGTCTCAGGTCTCGTCGGAGCAGCCGCACGCGAAGCGATCAGCACGATCAAAGACGTGAGGAATTGGGATGATGTACGCCTTCGTGCTCCATGCTCCAACATATTAGAGGCACATACTGATGATCCTGTTTCCGCTTATCCCAGGCCCGCGAAAAATTCACCACCCGTACAGTCGAACTTATGGTCCGTAAAGCTCATGCCAAGGAAGCTGCAGTTTGCGTTAATGTGGGCTATTCTGTCGATGACGAAAGCAAGATTCGTGATCGCATCAGCTTGGATTATAAGATGGGTAATTTGCATACTGAGTACGTGTTCTTCAAAGTGGAGTTGTCCTGTGATACCACAGCTAATCTCTGAATTTAGTTACGACTGCTTCTACCTGAGCGGTCCAAGTACGTTCCATTTGGAAGGTGATGGAGGTTTTATCAATATTGCCGTTCAGAGTGGGCCATGCAAGTACGACAGAGGCACTCTGACTTGCCCGCCATAGATGGGACTTTTGACGATTCCGAGCATGGAGGGCATTGTATCAGGGAGGAGTCTTCAGGGAGTCTTGAGGGGCGTGGAAATGAAGGACGCATACAAATGGGCGGGCGAGGCATTGTATCGGTGAGGAGTTTTGAGGAGTTTGCAGAGGCGTAATAACGGGGGAGACATACAAATGGACGGGCTGGGTGGTCGCAGGTCGTTCAATTCTTGACATTGATAAACTTTGTATGGACTGATTATTGTTCACTCCTATCATCCTACCAGTGCTAATTAGAACCCTTCCATATGGAGTGCGGTGGCATATCCTAGTGCAACACTAGCTGAGGCGATTGATTTCTTGTGCACGAAGATGACGGCCTGTTCAACAGTCCTTCACTGAATGGACACTACGGATATCACCCAGCAGATTCCCGTAACGCCGAAGCATCGGTAAGCGGGATACAGAAGACAGATTCGACAATACCGAAACTCATCATGATTCTCGTCCCTCGTCATGCATTGACGCTCGACTGATAACTAAGCGAAGCAAATAGTAAGCGTCTACTGCTCTCGTTCAAGCTCAAGTCGCACTGTTTCCACATGGTGCCTCCACATCGTTTCGTAAGTCTCAGCCATTGCCCTTAACAAATGCTGCTTATTGCTCCTCGATCCTTCTTGTTGCTGGGCATGCGCGGCGTAAACCCTCACAAGACCTCACAATGCGCCATCTGCCCTCTACTGATCATATCCTTCACGACCTGCGCTTGCTTGTGGAAGTCCTCCAATACAGGATTTGAGGGCAGTGGCGTCTCCCATTGGATCTCGTAAGATGCGCCCGTGTTGGGCCGGAGATTTAGAATCTCAATGTGCGATTCGAGATATTCCAAGGTCCATGGTGCATCTGGCTTTAGTGCGCACCTCTTAAGCAGATGCCTCCTCTGTTTCTCCAGCACCTGCAATTGCCGCTTGAAGAGATGCGGAAGCTCGAACTTTCCTTGCTCGTTCTTTTCTACCAGAACCAGGTGTGACTCTCGTGGTTCAGCCAGTGCCAGTTCTCGTGAAGTTCTCCTCTCAGCCAGGCCTCGAAAAAGTTCCCACTCGGCTCGATTGAGAGGCTGTGTGATGTTCTGAGCGTGCGTGTTCGAATCGACGAATGGTTCTTGCTCTCGTGATCCTGTCAAAAGTTCCATTCCATCTTGTCGGTCTAGTAATCGCATTTGCTTTTTGTACTCTTTCATTGCATTATCAAAATCAATTCCCGAGAGCTCTGCCTGCTTGGAAAGTTGTGTGGGAGTAGGAACTTGCGGAGCGGGAACTTGCGCGTTCAATTGGCCCCTGGAAGCTTGCTCACGCTTTGCCCACAGAAGCCGTCTCTTGTTCTGGCAGTCGAGCAGCACCAACTGGAGCTGGTAATCCCTGAGTGCGTCGTTCCCATCAGCTGACCCTGTCTGACCACAAAATTTCGTGACAGGGGGAGGGATTCGTACATTCGACTTGTCGTTAAATTTTGAACCCACCTGCACCTGTGGCTCTTTCACGGCACTGCCCAGTCTACTGAGACAATGCTGCTCCAGCAGCTCCAATTGAGCTTGGTACTCTGGATCGAATCTTCCCCGTCCTCGCTGCATCTCTGCCCAGTCCCGCGCTTCTACATCCTCGAGTTGCAAAGCGGCTTTGATTCGCTCCTCGCTGGCAAGGTACGAATCGGGCAAGCCGGTCTTTTGCATGATAAAACGCAAGCTTTCGATTTCGTTGCGCTTATGGGTGAGTGACTCGCTCACTAGAAGAGCAAGTGCTTTGCCGCTCAACCAGGTGTTTGGCATACCGTGGCCGGTGAAGCCTGCAGAGATGTACGTGTGGGCTGCATTGGGAATTCTGCCAACCCAAGGGAGGTCGTCCCGGGAGAAGCCCATGACTCCTGACCACTCGTGAGTAGCTTCCATTTCGTAGGTCTGTGACGCCCCATCTTCACTCTCTGGCAGTTGAAAGGCTTCGATCAGCCGGCTGCGGAGGTAATGAGCGGTCTTTGGGTCCACGACGCTGTCATCTGTGACGCCGATAGACGGACCGTGCTGTCTGCCGCCGCCGAACATCAGATGCTCTCCTCGATCGGAAGGACGCTGGATGAGGTAGTCGTCCAGTCCGTCGCCGAGGAAGCCGAAAGATGTCTTGAGTCTGTTCTCTCCGGCAACAGATGGAAATGGGATGAGACTGCTCATTTGACCTCGACATGGGACAATCAGGTTCGAGAATGCAGGAACGAGATGCGAAGTATAGGCATTGGTAGCAAGCACGACCTTGGAGGCCCGGATTGTGCCGCGTGCCGTATGCACGTCTACGCCAGTATCGCAGGGGAGAATCTTAGTCACAGGAGTCAGTGTCTGCAGGTTGAAGAGTCCGTCCAGGTCTGAAGATGTCAGAAGATCCTCCAAGATCCGGCAGACGAACTTGTAAGGCCACATCCGGGCTGCCACGTCAGTCACAACGGCACCGAGCGCGGTGGGCAGTCGGAGCCCGTCTAGTTCCTTCTTGGAAGTGACCATTCGCATCATGGACGAGAGGTCAGGTGCCGTAGTCTTAATGGTCTCCAGTGCGCGTTCAGTGGTCTTAAGATGATGCTCCGAGTAGATACCGCGAACACCAGGTTGGACCACGAACTCGCAGTCTATGGACTTTTCCTTGATCAGCTTATCCAGTGCTTGGAAGTTGGCGAGCTCGAAGCGACCAATTTCCGGCTTGTTGGGGTGTTCGAAGAAGATTGGTTGGCAATGACCGCCATTCTAAGAGACCGAATCAGTGGTGGACAACGTCTGAAGACGATGCAGGGGAGGTAGCGCACTCGTCCTGTAGCACCCCAGCATGCCTCTCGTGCCTCGAGCATCACCACATGGGGCTTTTGGCCACCGGTATCGCCATCGTTGAGAAGGTGATGGGCTATGCTGGCTCCGCTGATGCCACTGCCAACGACAACCAAGTCGGCAGTCTCGGGCAGGTCCCTCGTGGAGCGATGGCCGAGCAGGAGTGACGAGGGTTCGCTGTGCCAGAAGGACTTCGATGACTGTTCGCTTGGCAGATCACATGGCTTGCGCTGCGTGGGGAGATTTGGGGTCTGTCGGGACATTCCGCTGTGCTGCTGTTATCGAGATTGTGTCTGTGGATGTTCGGTGAGGCTGGTAGAAGAAAGAGAGAGGGTATAGGAAGTGAAGAGATGAAATGGAGTAAAGAGCTACAGTGGTGCCTCGATGCTGTGTCACTGCAGGGATGACGACGGCCGAAGCTGATTACCCAAACGGGAAGTGTGTGATACGGGAGTAGATTGCTCGCACAGCAAATGCGATACATCTCGCGGATGATGCAAGAGCACATGGGACAACGGCGGACTCCGCTGCACCGGCGGTGATGGACTCTGGCAGCGGAGCGGCGGCGGTGGGAGGAAGCGGAAAGAGGAGGCGGAGGAGGAGTGGAGACGAGATGAGGTGAAGGATGGCGGCACGGCAGTCCAATGCGTCGAACGCCGAACGCCGAGACTTGCCGACCTCTCTGCGCAAGTCCACGACTCAAGCAGCATTATCGAGCCATTGCTTGTCCGCCTGCGTTTCATATCAATCACCACTCCCCGCCCTCTCCCCCGCCATGGCCGGCCTCCTCAACAACCTGCAAGGCGTGCTGGGAGGTGCCAAGTCCTCCGTGGCCAGCGTCGTCTCGTCGGTTGATGCCGATGGTATGTGCCTCACAGCTCACAGCGCATACGTATATCACTTCCCACTAAGCATGCCCGCCTCCAGACTTCGCCGACTTCGCGACAGCAGCGTCACCCGTAGCGCCAAGTCATGCTGCTTCCTCCGCCTTCGACGCGACCGCCGCTTCACCGACGCCCAAAGGCACCTTCTCGAACTTCGGCCAAGGTCTTCAAGGACGACCATACACGAAATGGTACCGCGTGTGGGAGCGCGTGACGATTGCCGACTTCTACCAGGAGCTTGTCATCCTTCCCATCATTGTAGTCGTCATTCTCGTTAACGTCTGGGGAGCACGCGCGAACAAGAAGCGAGCGGCGCAATGGGCCGAGTCAAATCTTCCACAGCTGGAATCAGAATACGCGGCAGTGGGCTTCGGTGCCAAAGGCGCGAATGGTCAGCCAACTTCGCTGTGGAGAGAGAAGAGCAAGAATGAATACATCAGCTACGCCACGGGACGACAGAACGTGGCATTCCTGGACGTCAAGCTCACCCTGTACAAGCGCTACAACCCATTCATCTGGTTCATGGAGCTCGTAGCCTCTTTCTTTGTGGACAGCATTGAGGCTCCTATGGAGCGTTTGGAAGCTACTGCGTATGCCTTCGATGGCAAGGAGAAGAGCTTGGTTCCTGCTCAGGCGCAAAATCAAGCTTCGCAGCACAAGGATAGCACGTATGACGGCTTCGTCTGGGCAGTCGTGCACAAGGATAAGATGAGGCAGCTGCGCAATGATCGATTCGATGTCAGCCTGGCCACCCAGAAAGATCATCCCAAGCTGCCACAGTGGGCGACGGTCATGTCGGAGGGTGCCGAGATTACTGAAGCTCTGCTCACGCCAGAGCTTGTCAAGGCCGTAACTGCTGTTGGTGATGAGTTCGAGGCTCTGATTGTGTCGGACATGCCTGTCGATGCGCCAAAGAAGTGCGTATTCACCTCATGAAGATAGCCTGGACACAGCTAACGTACCCGCAGACTCAACGAACTCGTGCCCAAAAAGCGCGTTGAACTCCACACCCGCCTCTCCACCGGCCCAGCAGCCACAGAACTCTTCACCTACTTCCTCCGCATCCCAGACCAACTCGTGACCGGCGCACACTTCCGCCCAGAAGCGTTGCGCAAAGTCCGCCAAACGCGTGAAGAGGAGGTACGTAAGATCAAGAAGATTGACGATGAGGAGAAAGCACTCGAGAGAAGAGAGGCAAGCGACAAGCTCAAGAAGGAGGAGCGAGATCGCAAGCTGAGCAGAATGAGCGCGGATGAGCAAAAGAAGTTTTTGGAGAAGGAAAAGGAGAAGACCCAGCGGAAGCAGACCAAGAAGCAGACTATGAGAGGGTAGGTGTGTTCACACCTTTTCTCTCGAAGGGGCAGCTGTCATTGGTTGCAGGAAGGCTTTGCATAGCATGGAGTGGAAGATCGGCACAGAACAGGACTTGGAACGTAAGTAGAGCTGATCTGTCAAAGATACTTACTGTGTAGAAAAGACATTACTTGTTCAAAATTCAAACCATGCGGCGATCAGGATTTTTTAGTTGCTTCCATTTCGAAAAGGTTCGACGCATTTTCTTGGACAGGCAAGCAGGTCTATGGACCCCTGGAGTTTAATGCTGAAGTTGCATTATTTCTGCGCCAAGACATCTTCAACTCAGCCCATTTGTAATAACGACCTACAGTTTCCAGTGGAAGTACTGATCATTACGATTCGGTTCTCTGGTGATTGGTCATCTGGCGCCCTGCTTCTACTTCCGGCTTGCGACAGCCCACATACTTGACTGTGGGAGTGAATCAATCATTGGTGATGGATCATGAGTCTTGGCGAAATCAGGCCACTTCGAGTACCACTGGATCGTGGCTCCCAAAGAATCTTGCAAAAAAGTTTCAGAGCTAAGCACGAGCATTTCTTGACCTTTAAATACAGCAAAGTCTTCCACCTCGATTTCATTTCACAAAATATCAGCTTTGCTACATTGTTCGACTTGATTGCCATATCCGGGACCTGGACACTGAAAACAACAAGTCTTTCGGGGCTTTACTTCGTGCACTGTACAGTACTTATCTGCAACTGGTTCAAGATGGGGAAATCCAACAAGATGAAGATGCATAAGCCAGCGAAAATCGAGTCACAGTACTCTGGTATGCGAGGCTCGTGGACCGAGAAGGAGTACTCCAGAGGAGTCGACTATGAAGACAGCACCGCTTTGCAGCAGAGATCCGACGATCTCTGCGAACAAAATGCCGACAGGTTCTCCGAAGCAGCTCGCTGGCCCGAGCTCACGCGAGCGAACCTCAGACCGAAAATCAAGAACAATGTTGCCAGAAAAGTGAGTTTCGCACGGCCAAGAGGCGGGTGTAGTTACTCATCGAAGCTGAGGACCGCTGTGGAGGAGAATGAGAAAAGGCCACCAGTCGTCAACTTTCCCCTGCCGGCCGAGATTCGCGAGCATATCTACAGCTACCTACTCAATGCCGACGAGGTCGAGTCTCCCCCAGAGACACACTCTTGCCTCCTGGACAGAAGTCGTTGCCAGGCTGGGACATGCTCACTGCCAACGTTTCTCTTCCAGAAGCAGATGTTCCGCGTCAACAAAACTATCGGCAGTGAAGCGTTGCACTACTTCAGGAGGGAGAATAAGATTGTGCAGTTCCAGTTCAAGAATCACGACCTCTTCCGGCACTGCGTGACGTTCGATGTGCCTGTCTTTTACAGCCAGATGCCTCGGAGCCAGAGCCATATGTTCACAATCAATGTCGATTGGAACCGTGGTCGACGGGAGTATTACTTGCCCGTAGACGCTCTGAGAAACGGAATCGTCTTCGAGGCGTCCCGTGAGAAGCTGCAGAACAACCGGCCCTTTCTTGTTCTTGGGAAGCATCTTCCAAAAGTCTTGCCCCTGCTGCGCCACTACTGTGAGCGTGAACTACCACAGGGCTACTTGATAACTTCACACGCGGGTAGCCCAGTGTCTCTCCGCTTCAACAATGCCGACCATGCCCCTAGGTTGCAACTTCAGCTTTGCACAAAAAACTTTGTACCCGCAGGGAAGGACAAGAGAGACCATTTGATGAAACTTGTGCATGGTGTCCTGCGCTTCCCAGCAGATGTCGCAACCCGTGGCATTGTGCATGGCGATGGTGGCAAATGGTCACTTTTCCAACGAAAGTGTACAGAGAAGAGAGATTCCAGTGAGAAGCTTGAGAGCCTTGTCGTAGTGTTGATTCCAATGCAGACTTATGTCTTGTCTCCAAATATGAATTATAATCTTCTCCACCTTGTCATACTACCAACTTCTTCAAGCTGCGATAAAACTTGCTTCGGTGTAGGGACCCTTGCTTGTTGTTGCCAATGGATCTGGCGTCCGTTTCATCGTTGCGGTAGGATATGCCGTGCGGTGGGTTGTCGCGATAGCCATTCATGCCATTAGCGGTTGGCAGCCCATGATCAATGAAGCTGTGTGGCGGAGAGTTGTGATGGGGTTGAGGCCCAGGAGATCGGGGACTGCGGTTCTGGGCATCGCTTGACAGAGCGATACCGTTGAGATGCGAGCTGATTGGCGATCGATCCAGATTCGTAACGCTGTGGGTCAATTGGCTACCATTGGTATAGCTACCGTTCGGATAAGGGCTCAGGGGTGAGCGTTCTGATGGCGTTGTGACACCAGGTACCGAGCTATTCACGCTGATGCCTCTAACGGGATTTCTTGGATCTTGCAGGAACTGTGTGTTGCTCACGAAGCTGGCGTGATTGCTGTGGTTATTTGGCAGACCATTGCGACTGCTCGGCCGTGAGATGGTGCTTGATCCTCGAAGACCATTCGGTATGTCATCAGGGATCTTTGGCATATTCGGCGCTTTCTGCGCTATCCAGATCCACACTGGAATGACTATGACAGCTCCTCGACGGGCTTCTCGCATTGCCTGGTCGCCCATCTTCTTGGCCTTTTCCGGATTACCTAGTACTTGCTCAACGTATTCAGCCCAGCATGCAAGGTAACTGACTCGGGAGTTAGCAATGTGATATTAGCCACGGCTCACTAGAGTACAGCGCTCACATGTCGGTCCAGTGCCTGCCAAGGTTTTCGCTAGGTTCGATGTGGAATTGCTGAGCATTAAAGAAACAATTTTCGTTGAGGAAGCGTGCACCGTGTTGCTTCCACTCGCCCCTGAGCGACTTGTCAGCTGGGATGCGCTGCATTTGTGTGGTATGTTGCACCTACTTTCCAGAGCTGCATAACTGGACCAAAGCCTCTTCCATTGCGGGAGATGGGGTGCCTTTTGCGTTTGGTATGACATGAAACCCCGTATTGTCGACCTCTTCCCATTGCAAATAGCCTCCGGGCTCTGTGGATAGAAATTCAGTACCTTCCTAGCACGGCTTCTGAACACGCTTACTCAAGAGCTTCTTCAGATTCTCAATAATAGGTATGACCTGCTCGTTCTCGCGGAACACGACGGTGATGAGTCGTGTATGCAGGATGTCGAAGGCTCCTACGAATGGCTTCGGCGGATCCTTGAAGATGTCCCAGGTGTGGAAGCGGATTGTGGAGAACGACGTCGGGTCTTGGGTAGTGACCGGCACCTGGTCGAGACTGATATCGAAGCCATGAAGATTATAAGGCTCTGGTAGATTTGACGCCACGTCTAAAAGCCAGCATCTGACAAAATACCTCAGTGAACGCTCTCAAGAGTCTTGCTGCTAGACGGACCCGTTTCCAGTTGCGACGTCAGCTATGCGAGGTTGTGCTGGCACCGGTATGCTCGGGTGTATCAAATAGCCCAATTCCATCTTCCATAAGTGATGCTGACCCAGTAATCTGAGACGCCATAGTCAGTTCGTTGTAACTGTGGGTGGATCGTTCACTGACCGTGAGCTTGCTTTGTAGTCTCGCATCAACGCATAACTATCGTCTGCGTCCACGGTATCCATCTGGAGAGACATTCCCATCTCTGTCTAGAGGCAGGCAAGATTCACTTGCAACTCTTCGAACGATCACCACAGTAGAGACTGCTTTGCTCAGTAGCCACAAGACCTAAGACCTACAGGGTCTTATGGATCGTCGGTCGCCCGAAGCATCGTGATGCACCTCCAACCCCTATCGCATGGCCCGTTGGCGAATCTGGTGAATAATCACTGCTGACACCATTGAATATGTGACTCAAGAACGACGTTCAGAAGAGTGGAACCACTCAGGCAGGATCCTGTCTCCAGATGATTCATGTCTTAACAGGAAAATTTGCGTCTTCTCCTACCACCGTGGAAGTACGATCAACGGGTTCTCAACTCATCGATTGCTGTGCTGCTCAGACTAATTGTTGACAACCTTTCGGGATTGGTTGGACCAGAAGTGCCGGATTCCGACAGTGTCAGGGCACACTTTCTAATTTACTGGGTCATGCTGCCGAGATGTGCATGGCGATGCTCGTCAAATATGCCTGTTTGGGGCAATGCAGGGATCGCCTTGTTGGGAGGGAAGGTCCAATCTGGCGTTTACAGAAATTTCGTTGACTGGTGAAGTGTTCTACGTGTCGGCCATCTCCGAACGTCCGATCTGAGCCAAAGTCGGGGGTGAACATCGAGACTGGAGGAAACCATAGTCACGACAATACTTGTGTACCCAGGGTGCAAACCATGATGCAGTAGTGGCCAAAGGGGCAATAAAAGGCATGAACGTCGTGTATTGGACACGCTGCTCGTACACTAGAGACTCAACCTAGCATGACATGAACGATCACTGTTGACACCGATATCTGCCAAAACCGTTAAGCTGTTGACTTCCCAGACCGTGTCATACCAGCAGAGGCAACCAGATTCGGCTCAATGACTTTGAAAAGGTAAGTTCTGACCTGACGAAGCCTAACCTAATACTGGCCGGATCAAGCTCAACGGTGGAGTGACTAGTAACCGAGAGCCCTATCCCTTGGGACATGCTTGCGGTAGATTCAGACTTGCATACTCAATCCCGACTGCATCTGTCTTCTTGATTGTTCCCACGTCAGTAACCCACCGAATATCTAGGGCACAACCGCATGATACTTCACAGGCATCCCCACATCCACGTATGCGATCCAACAGAGAGCCTGGATGTTTCGTGCCTAATCTGAACTGGAGGTAGCAGACGGCAACAGTGCCGAAACCCAGCCACACAACATTCAAGATCTTCAATTGAGCTTCAGCTCGATAACGTACCCGCGCTGCTATATTCCTTAAAGAATGACAGTCCGCACATTGAATTAACGACAGCTCGGTAGACCCCCAGCTTGATGCCCCGGCGGACGTTCAGTCGCGTTCGCAACAAACCCTAAGGGTGAATGCACTGAGGTCATCGTATAGCCGCAGTCCTGGTGACGACTCTGCCCATTCAGCTCATCCATGAACAAAGGAGATTAATCGTGCGCAGGATCACAATCGACTGGCTTGCTCTGGGGCTGCTTCCGAAGCAGCCGCCAATATATCGACAACGACTTCCGAAAAGATGTTGGTCAACAGGCCGAGAAAATCATACTGTACAGTGAAGTAAGTCAGCGAGCTATCTCTCACAGCAGGGAAGAGACGTTGTGAGCACCCACTCTTGCTTGTTTGGGATATAGAGACATCGATACCCCAGCCAAAAACCCTCCGACCAAGACAGATCTCCTTCACGCCAAGGTTTCTCTGCAACGCAGCGACTTGACTTTCAATAATACTGGGCAGCCCAGCAGCGATAATATACTCTCAGTCGCTCCGCGGATCGCGTACGCCGAAAGCACGTAAGCGCGGAGATGAGTGTCAACAAGACTCTTGGAGACAACCAGAGTTTCCCGGGGCAATACCGTAAAGTATGAGCCATCGTGGAAGGCAACTCGAGCGAGCTGAATTCGTTGAGTGCACAGCCCTTGGTAAGCAGGATTATTGTTGACGTCAAAGCGCATTTGTGATTAAGTCCAGCTGAACCGATTGCTACCGTTCATGACTGCCATCTGAACATTCAACACGAAGAGCCTCACTTACATCTTCAAAATGAGTCCTCCAAAGCCCACCATACTATTAATTCACGGCGCACTCACTACGGCCGCCTCGTTCGATTGGGTGATCCCGCATCTGGAGCAAGCCCGATATCCTACAGTGAATGCCGAATACCTCAGTGTTAATCCGGAGAAGCCGCTGGAGGTCACCGCACAAAAGGACATCGATCACGTTCGAAAGACTTACCTGGATCCACTCATCGAGCAGGAGCACAAAGATGTTGTCCTTGCTGTCCACTCTTTCGGCGGCGTCATTGCTGGTGGCGCGGCCGTCGGTCTGAGCAAACCGGACAGAGCGGCCAAAGGTCTCAAAGGAGGTGTTATCGGCATGATATTTATCGGTGCCAACATCGGCCACGAGGGCCAGACTATGCTCGAAACCGTTGGAGGACAGTGGCCACCGTGGTTGAAAATTGATAAGGTAGGCCATGCCCCTATGGTCGATGCAGTCCATGATGGAACGTTGCTGATGTACGATCTGACAGCCAAGCGAAGGCCTCGCGGTCATTGAGCCTCTCTTCGAGACCCTATGTCACGACGCCGATCCATCTCTGGAAAGTGAAGTCGAATCTCAAGCCCGACCCCACGGGTACCTGTGTTTCGCGACTCCAATGCCCGCTCAAAGCTGGGCTGAGAAGGGCTATACTGGAAGGCTTGCCTACATTCGAACGTCCGAGGACAGAATCAATCCTGCGTTTGCTCAAGATATCTGGTATCAGGGCACGGGTGTCGAATGGGACGTGCTGAATATGGAGGCTTCTCACGCTCCCTACATTAGCAAACCGAAGGAGCTTGCTCAGCACATTGTTAGCTTCGCGCAAAAGTTCGAGGGCTTGTGATTGCGTGCAATTCTGTGTAGATGGTCGGACGTCAGTCGAAGGCGACACTAGATTAGTGAAAAGGGCATCTTCTTTGATCGCGAGACGAGTCGATTGAGAACAGTCTGTATCCTTGTGTGTTGAAAAATGGATCCACTTCGAGAATTGTTGTACTCTCCTGAAAGATACGTACCTTTGGAGAGCCATTGCAACGTGGCTAGTCAATGAAGATTTTTGGAGCTCCCGTACACTGCAGGTACAATGGGTTGATGCCGACCGCCATGCAGCTGGTGAGCACGAAGTGCTAGCATTATTTTCCAGCAGGGCCCGGCTTGGTGTGCTGTACGAAAAGCTGTCTCTCTGTAAGATTGGGTTTCCCAACACAGGCAAATGAAGCCCAGAAATCCAGAGCAGGCCGACGAGTTCATGGTTGGTGCCCAGTCTGGGTAGCCAGTTGTGGAGCTTTTGTGCCGTCGGCGGATTATGCTGGGTTGCACGCGTTCGGTAGCACTGTGAAGATGGACACCGGGACTAGCTTGTTGGTGTGTGGAGCAATGAAGCTTGTTTTCCAATGGAGCTGACAATGCACTCCGGGGCCTGCCTTCAGAGTCAGGAAAGATCCAAGTTGGGCTTGGAGAAGTGCTGACTTAGGGTACGAAGCTAAGGTTCATGCATATGTGCCCTGCTACCATTCTCGTTTGGAAATTCATCTCACGATCCCCAGTATCGATGCATGCATCTGCCACAATGTCTTCATCACTGCAAGAGATGAAGTCCGCAGTTGTCAAATGGCGAAAGCTTTCCACAACAGTGAAGCCTAGACTTGATAGCAACTTTCCAGCTGCCTCCTGAGCTTTGTCCAGACAGCGTTTGTATAGACACGGGGTGGAAGACAATGACTCGCTCGTCCGCTCTCTAGCAGAATTTTAGCACGTCTCTCGTTGCTGGTGTTAAGTTGCCAGCTTACACTCATCACTCACAATTGAGCTTGCAGTTCGACTGCGCTTCGTTCACTATGGCCCCAGTTCAGGAAGCACCAGAGTTGCAACAGCACTTCAGCAAGGAGTTCCTGGAGCAAACGCTCCAGCCAAACATTCGGGCAGCAGCAGTCGTCCCTCTTTTCCTTGCGGTTGCAGCCGTCCTCGCGAGACTCTGGTGTCGATGGAAGAGGAAGGCTGGATACAAGCTCGATGATTTCCTGATCGTGCTGTCATTGGTACGTGAGAGTGGCTTGTCCGCAGTACCTTCTGGCTGACTGGCGCAGCTCGCGTGTATCGTCGTAGTCATCAATGACTTGATCAGTGAGTCCCCTTATGGGCGATGCTTCGAAAACGACTGACCGTCCGCAGTGGTTAATCATGGCCTGGGCAGACATATCTATGTCCTCGGACCAGAAGCCAATCACTATCTTCATCTTTGCTGGTTTATCGCAGAATTCTCCTACACGGTCGCCATTGTGGCGGTCAAGCTCTCAATCCTGGCGCTATACTACAGGACCTTTGCACCTCTTAACATCAAATGGGAAGTTGTGATCATGACGGTTTTTACTGTGCTCTGGGGATCGTCGGTGGTACGAGTGCAACGCCCACCTCAAGCGTAGCAGAAATGCTGACACTTGCGCACAGTTTATTTGCATGATGCTGCACTGCATCCCGCTGCGAAAGTATTGGGATCCAGATGTGCCCGGAGTGTGCAATCTTGATAACCAGAAGTACCTTTTCGCCATATCGATACCGAACATCCTCATTGATGTGATCCTGCTTGGAATGCCTGTCCGCTATGTCCTGATGTTGGAGATGGGGCGGCGACAGAAGCAGACTATCGCAGGACTGTTCCTGTTTGGAGGCTTGTGAGTATCAGGAGCAATGACAGACCTGCTTCTGTAGCTGACTTTGGTTGTCCAGCGTTTGCGTTGCATCGATCATGCGCTTAATCAGTGTCTCGCTGCAAGACGACACAAGTCCAATTACCACGTGGGTCCCCGTCAATCAGGCAATTTGGGCCACAGTGGAGATCCTTACGGCCATCATCAGCGGTATGTTGCCGAAAGAATTGATCTGTCTGCCCCATAGCTGATCATGTACAGCTTGCTTGCCTTGCCTCGGACCGATACTTTCGCATCTCTGGCCTTCCGCATTCTCCAATGATCGTGCTCCGTCCGTCACGCGTCTCCGTCAATGGACGTACGGCAGTGAGCCTCGCAGGAGCAAGAAGAATTCCACCAATAACACATTGGGCGCCTTCACGGATACTCTGCTTTTGACTCGGACGGAAGATACTCTTGTTGCTGATGGAACAAGGACGACCACAATTGACCACGCCGATGACAAGATCAAGGTCAAGAACGAGTGGAATGTTCAGACTGTTCGAGCAGACTCAATGAGTTCCCAGCATAAGGCGAGTTGGGATAATTTATAGCGTTTGTGGCCGGATAGAAACGCTTAAACTCTGTCGAATTCTTTCGAGGTGACCTGGGGTGCGGCTGATGCAGACTGACAGTTCGTGCTCGAAAGGGACGCGACAGAGTTTGATGGTTTCTGGAGCTCGATGATTCTCCTGCAATGAGATCTTCAAAGGCGTTGATGGAATCGACTCATCAAAATTGTAGGGTGGCGGTGTGGCGGTTGAAGGAGAAGGAGACGTCGGCAAGGTTTCTGGGAAGAACCTTGAAACAAATTGAGGGTTACGTGTACAGAACTCGGCATGTTCCGTTGTCAATAAAACATCACCCATGGTATTCGAGATAACTACCTCAAAGTTGCGATGCACAAATGCTCCCACAGTCTTGTGCAGTTTTGCAGCTCCTCGGCAAGAGCTCGTGGAGACCTTCGTATGGTGCCCGGAGCTCACTGGTGGCTGCCGCTTTAAAGTTCGAAATGGGGCGGCTGAGCTAGTTCGAGAGGATGAACCTCAATCCTTCCAGTATGCTGATGCCTATCAACTTCAGGTGTACTCATACAGCCGGTGAAGTACGCTTTACCAGGTATCGCAACGCGAGATACCTCTTACAGTGCTCGTTGGCCCGGAAATCCGTTATATCAAGAAGCTCCCAGCTCCAGCTTTCAAGTCCACTAGTATGAAAGAACCATGGGCACCTCGACTCGGCTGTTGCTGCTGCCGCGGCCCTCGCACACAAGCAAGAGATCAAAATGACAAAATCGACATCGATGTAGAGCGTGCAGAGCATCAAGCTGCTGAAACGGCTAGCCCAGCGACCGATGCTGGGCTCGCCGAGCGAGCCATTCAAGCAGCGCTGCGACTCAGCTTTCATTCTGACAGGTCTGGGGAGAAACAGACCTCCGATCTCCCGCCTCCGAGCTATGATACTGTCCTCAAAGACGATGAAAGACGGACGCCCGCTGCACCAGTAGCTCAGAGAAATCCGCCCGGAGATGAGATTGAGCCTGTGAGACAGAACGCCGAAAGGGATTCCGAGCCTGGAGACCGCAAGGTTGGGAATCACGAAAGTGTATTGTCTTCTTCTGGAGATTCTGATGTAGTGCTTACGCCACCTACGACTGCGCCACCAACTGTTATCGACGAGGACTCCGAAGACGACGAGCGTTTCCGTCCCGCTGGTAGATCCGGTAGATGAACAAAAGTGGATTGACTTGCTGTTCCGAAGTGTGAAGTGTAGATCATGGAACACTTGGCGAAAGTCCCTATGGTTTGAGACATTCTCGTCACGGAGGACGAAACGCTAGGAACCAGGCCTAAACGTGTGAAGGATGGGACTTGTCTCCTGACCACTGCAGCATATTTATGAGCGAGGCAATCAGTGCGATAATTTGGAAGCTCTAAAGGATTTAAGTGACGCGGCTCCAAAGCAAGCAATGAATCGGCAGAGGACAATGCAGCTATACAGTCCCAAACTGAACTCTAGACTACATACTATGCACTCTGACGTGCTGTGATTCCATGCTGTATCGCTTGTACGTCTAGTCAACCAGTGACAAATGTCCATTATATTCTCATCTTCGAGTCCGCACATGGCCTCGCATCATGGCTCTTGCATCAGCCGACTTTGGCCTCCCACGATCATCATATTCCAACCTCTCAGGCATATGCCGATATCTTCTGGTATCGCTTCGACTCCAGTAGCTGGTACCTGTTGAGTCTGAATCCGAAGAATCTCGCCGTGAATATGGGTCTCGCTCTCGATGCAAGTCTCCTTCGCGCCCACGATTCCTCGCACTGCCGGTGCTTCGAGCGCGCTTACTTCGTGAGCTGCTCGCCTTGCTTCGTGAGCTGCCCGCTTTGCTCCCGCCGCTATTATCCTGCTTTTTGTCAGCACCGCCGGTTTTATCGCCAGAATCTTTTCCACCGCTTGACGAACCAGGTTCACCAGGGGCCGGTCCTTTGGCCAGTGCTTTCTTGCTGAAGCGCTTGTTGGTCATGTACAATGAGATACTTCCGCCGATGAGGTCCATGCAGCCCATGAGAATGCCGACATTGAATGGTGTGATGTACTCCTCGATTTTGGCGAAGCCAGTCTTCTTCTCTGCCTCTTGTCCTTGATGTTGCTGCTGGTTTTGCTGCTGGTTTTTCTGCACTTCTTGATCTCGCCTGTCCCTTTCGAGACTCCTCCTGCGACTTCTGCTGCGCATATCCCCACGTCGTCTGCGGTCGTCGCGATGATGTCTGCTCTCGCGCGAGTCGTAAGATCTGTCTGAGTCGTATGACGAAGTTGGTCTGCGACGAGAATGTCGATCCCGGGTACGAGTTCTCCTTTCACTGTGGTAGTGCCCATCGTCTAGCGGTCTTCCGAATCTGTCATCTTCTATTCTGCCTCTGGCAGCTCCATGTGCGCTCCGCTGGCTTCTGTTGGTAGAGTTGCTGTGACTTCCGGCTTTGGGCGGAGGAGGAGGATATCCTCCTGGATATTGATTGTCGTACATCGCACGGTAGGCATAGTTGGGTAAGCCCGTCGTCATCTTTTCACGCTGCTCTGGATGATCGTCCTCTCTCGGTGGCGGCGGAAAGACCGGCGCAGGATTCTGCTGCCTTCCTTGTCCGTTCATTGGTGTTGTTGGGGGCCAGCAGCATTGAGAGCTGTGGTGAGAAAAGATGAGAGAGCGCAAGGACCAGACCGAATTCGAAAAAGGGCAGGAGAGTTCTGAAACTGCGGCACGGTGTTCCTGTTGAATTTAGAATCCAGAGTCTGCTGAATAGGGATATTCTGACGCTGACATCGCTTTATGATGCAAAGCACCAGATCACGGCGCAAAGTTGCTGCTGAGCCCCAAGCGGTCTAAATCTGACACAGGGCCTCGTGCGATTCGCAGTGTGGTTGCCAGCACATTCCTTGGACGAGACTCAACATCTCACAGTAGGCCTACTTCAATCACGGACGCAACCTTGACGGGTGGGCAGCAAGCCGGTGTGCCGAAACATCAGTGCTTGAACTGAGAGTCTTCGCTAGAAATTCCAGGCACTGCGATCGATTGGGGTGGTTGCGTCGATTTGGTGCCAGCCTGCGATGCGGATGATGTGAAGTGGCCGGGAACATCAAACTACGAGACTGGGGTGCAGCAACCAACAACCAAGGTTGCTCGCTTCACCTCTTTCGTGCATAAGCGTGCACAAGGCTGAACTCAGTAGAGACTCGTATTTCAACTTCAACGTACCAATATGGTTCCATCTCTTTCATGAGTCGAGCTGGGCAGTCTTGATCGCGCATGCGCATATCGGAGCACACTGGAGGCAAATGAGCGACGGCGAATGCTGATTGCTGACCTAGAGCAGTGTCAACAACTTCTCGAGCGGTCAATTGAAACAGGCAACAGACCGCATGTTCCGTATGTGCCACGGCCCG